TTCCCGACGTTTTTCCTACCCTCCATAAACTTCTTAAACCACTCGAAAACTTGCGTGCGAGATAGACACTGATCACCATATACTTCTGTCAACAAATTGTAAGTTTCAGTGGCAGATTTTCCAAGTTTTGTGAGGAATTTGATGTTAGCACGTTGTTCTGCATTAGCACTCAGCATTATTCCGACGGAGCTCAGAAACACGATCCGCTTCTAACAATGGTCGCGGCCAGACTAACCGATGCACGTGAATGAAACTTTGTGTGACGGTAGAGGGAAGTCCAAGGGTCAATGCCCTACCCTCCTCTTCGTCAATGACGTGGCCGGAAATGAGTCATAAAAGTAATCCGGGTTCTTTATTGCCACACCTTGTATAATACATTTTCGAAAATTCCGCCATTAACATCAGTTCGCTTTGCAGCTCGTGCGAGGACATGCTATGTTGCTCGATAGAGGGATATGTACAAAGATAGGTTAGAAATCGAAGGAAGTTTTGGTATTTTAAAGTATGACAAAAAGGTTCTATAATATTTAGAATTGCCATATTTTTTATACAGTTGCCGTGGCTGTCAATGAGTCTGGTTCCGCTGTCCACACATTCCTTAATTCTGTCAGAATAAAATGTTTTGATTAGGCCTTACACCATTCTTGCACTGTTTTCACTTCAAAGGCCTCACTGACATTCATTTCAAATGTAGTCTTTATGAGCGATAATTCTTAAGTTGTCCCAAATTTGCTCCTCAATCTTGAACACATGTTTACAGTTGATAACTGCCCAAAATCTGGATAATTATCATCACTGATGCCTTTCCACACTCCTCTGAATCTTCCCACCTGTTGGAAAACTTTCTTCTCTCTCATACTGTTATCAACATACTGAATGATCATTCATCTGTGAGTTTCATTGGCTTCTTGCTCTCTATCCACAGATATCATATGAAATAATTTTCATTTCGTGCATCCTGTTGTGTTATCTGTGGAGCAGCTATGTTAATTATATTACTACTACTCAAAGGAAAATGAAATCCAGCTAAGTACAAATGATGGAACATACATGTTTATATCTGCTAGCTTTCTCAGTGCTGTCCAATATTCAGAGCTGGCCCAACCATTTTTGCCACCGCATCAAAAACTAAAGAAAATTTTTGCACAGCCACCGCCATGTTGTCATTACTGTTGGGACGACATCCAGTGACTTACGTATGATAAAATATATTTTTTAGAAAATTTAATACATATTTGTGCCAGTATTCAGTGAAAGGTAATTACACATTTATCCACTGGAGTTTTCGCTGTACATGCATTTCTGTGTCTCTCATCATATCTCAATACATGAAACTTCCTTCCATCAGTTGCATTTGTATTAATATTCAGACATTTCTTTTCTGTAGGGAGTGTTTAATGTTGACAAAGAGGAAGGCCTCACACTTACAGAGACTGCAGAAGGCGTTGGTGTTGAGGACATAATTGCAGCAACAGGATGTGAATTTGCAGTATCCCCTGATCTAAAACCCATGATACAAGTGTCAAATGAAGACTGAAGACATCCACGTTATATAATTGACTTTTACTGGAATGCTGGTACCATATGTCTTTCAGAAATTTATCACAATTATTTTTATAGTCTTAACTTCATAAACTTGCATTGTACCAAATCTCAAAACAAGGTTCATTAATTGTAGCATCATGTACTAAACTATTTCCTCTTTCAGATTTTTAATATTATCTGTGATCCTATCTTTTCTCTGTAGGATGAAAAGGAATGCAGTAATTAAAAATTATACTCACAGATAATCTTTCAGGCCACACTATAAACCTTGATTAGTTCTGTGTAGTACAATTATTTTAGACTTGACCGATTTCATATTAGAACCACTATGTTTTGAAAATTAGTTCTATATCCTCTTCAGGTGATGTATGATCCATGCCATGGGTCCAAGAGAATAGGTTTTCCCTTCTTTCATGTTCAGTAGTTTTAATAAACCCAGGTGATAGACAGTGTTCAAAGTAATTGTTTAAATAATGTATTTCTCTTTATTTTTTCGCCCTGTTGTGTTATGACATCGAGGTATTGGGGCCGTCAACACTACAGTGAAGTAGATTGATTCTAGTTTTAATAAAATTGATTAAAATACATATGATATATCAGTGGTGTAATTAACTTTATTTGTTTCATTACAGCTGTATGTTTCTGTCACTCGTACCATCATCAGATGGTTTGTAAGTAAAGAAATAAATAAAATGTATCATTATTGAATTATGTGGTTAAATGGATCCAATTTTACAATGAAAATTGTCATGATAGTGGTTGCTTAAATTGCTAAAAAAAGGTTAAAATATGTGGGGGGGGAGAGATTATGCAGTGTAATGTGGGGCTGGTTAAATGTGCTGTAGGAAGGGTGTATATGCACAGTTGAGTGGCAAGAGCAGTGCTCTATGTGTTGATGGATTTTAATATTATTGATGGATCTGTATTCCTCTGGAAGTTCCATGAAGTGGTGCATGTGATGGACAGCAGGCTGGATGTGCCTCATACAAGCCTGTATGTGGTGGTGAACAGGAAAATTCCTTTCCTGCTCCTGCCAGGAATCAAACCCCATTCATGCAATCCACAGAGCCATCCTGGCTGTATATGTAAATGGTATTTTTGGGAGCTGTATGCGTGTATTTTATTATGTATATTGAGCTGCAGAGAGAGCACTGGAATAAATTAAAATGAATTATGCTTTGTGATTTATGACTGTACTTATCATGCTGTTGTGTCAGTGGGTTATAAAATGTAAATGAAAGAAAATATGAGTCTTAGAAACATCTTGTGCTCAATGTGGAATGTTTGTAATATAATGTTAAAAATATCATCAGGTTTCTCTGTATTGCCTTTTCTTATTGAATACATTTTTATACATAAGATAATTTCTGCTATTGAGTCAGTCTCAAGGAAGTAATATGAATTTCTCAGTGTGTATGGTTAATATGGCACATCTCGAACATTCTCAGTCATCTCATTTCAGTTAAAGAAACACGAGCTTGTAGAACCTAGCTGCACTTCAGATATCAGTTACAGAAGTGAAACTTAGGCTCGTTAGATGGAGCCTGTCTCTGTCCTTCGGGAATGACAGGAAATGTTCAAGCCTGACACTTCTGATGATTGTTCTGCCTCTCCTTCTCTCTCTATCTCTCTCCCGATATTCCGCAGACCCTTGGAGCTGACATCACTTCCATCTAATTGGCCTAACAGATTATTTTTCATATTTTACCTGATGATTGAAGCAGAGGCAGCTTGCAAAGTGTTGTGTTTCTTGGACCAAAAAGATGATGGAAAATATCCAATATATATCAGTTTAATAACACACTTTCATAGCAGACAATTATATTTCCTGTGTATGATGTTACTCAGAGCTTCAAAATCTGAGATTCCGTTAATCCTCTAACAGTAGAAATGAGCTTCATTGTATGTGTGAGAAATATATGTAGAAGAGATACGTTTTATATTCACCTCGAATATACTCGTATCAGTAAAAGGACATTGTAGTTGAGTCTGTAGAAAGATTTTGTAATAAATTTGGATGTTTGAGTACAAGAAACAGTAGGATAAGTAATTAATTTTTTTTTAAACATTTTGTTTCAGTTTTGATTTCCCAGTACAAGTTTGTATGTATTAAAGCCTAAGACTTGAAATTCTGCGTGTATTTTGACCTTGTCAAGAAATCAGTGTTGTTACCAGCTACAGATAGGATTGCCAGGAGATAGAGACATGCCTATGCTTTGACCACCAGTGGTTATGAAGAGTTCTATCTTCTGGGATATAATGCCATGTAGTACATTAAAAAGTCGATTGACATTTCAGAGGAACATGTCCCCCCCATCTTCAGGATTGAAGAATAAGTGACACAAGAAAGCAGCATCAAGCAGCTCTGCTTGCTACCTGCTAACCAGGTGCTAATGAAAACCAAAACTACATGAGGTGTGCATATATGTAGGTAAGTCAATAAGTATTTTTTTTTTATTGCTAGTGGGGTGGGACGAAGTCCCTTGTACTGCGGCCACGTCTGGCCTAGTGCACCAGCCCCAGATGATAGGTGAGGATGATTGGAGAGCAACTGGTGGAATGAAGATTGGCAGGGGAACCGAAGTACTCGGAGAAAACCTGCCCCAGCGCCACTTTGTCCACCACAAATCCCACTTGACCAGACCCCGGGATCGAACCCGTGCTGCTGAGGTGGGAAGCCAGCGACTAACCTCTTGAGCTATGGCGTGGCCTTAGTCAATAAGTAAGTTACAAATGGATATAGAACTTAAACAAATAAGAGTACTGATGAAGCTGTAGAAAGGGAAGTCACTGCCTGGTTTCAACAGCAGCTCAAAGAATTTTATGCTGCTGGTTTTCAGGGGTTTGTGAAACGATGAGACAAGTGCCTCAATGTACAGGGAGATTATGTTGAGAAATAAAAGCATTTTTCAAGTCAGTACTCTTATTTATCCATTTGTAACTTACTTATTGACTTACCCTTGTACTCAGTCACTTTTTCATCTTCCAGCACTGTTTTCATTTGTATGAGTTGATGTATGAAATGTCTGTGGGCTCTTCTTGCTATATTCCAATACCTGGCAGAACCATCTTGTTTGGCGTCACCCATTGGCCTCTTTCATCTACATTTTAATTTGATTCCTTTCTTATATCCTTTTTCTGCCTGTTCCTTTACAAATTTTTGGACTGCAACTTGTAAAAATTTGATTTCTAATCCTGACCCCTCTTATTTTTCTCTCATTTCTCAGAAATTTCATGTCCATAAAATGCTGATTACGTTAATCTTTCTGTGTTCATGAAACAAGGTAAGTATGAACAAACAGATTTTCATGAAATTTTATACTAGGAAGTTTTACTAAATTTTATTGATACAGTTCAATTTTATTTAAAATATGACAAAAATATCAGACATTTTACATGAAGTTACACATGAAGGTCTGTGTGTTTCTTGCTAAATATTTATCACAAAATAAAAGTAAATTCAGTATGAATTCAGTGTGTGTTTATTGTATGGGAAGACTTTTACCATTGTGTTAATTAATCAGTTTATTCAAAATAAGGCACATCTTCCATAAGCCTTGCAGTTTTTGAGGCAACTAAGCAAAGACATTATTAAAATCTAGAAACAATGACAAAGTGAACGCATCAGAATTATTATGCTGTGTGTAAAAAAGGTAAATATAGAAGGGTAAAGCTATCATGTAACAGGCCGTGGAGGCCCATAGGATTGTTAGACGTTGAGGCTGCCTCATTTTTCTAGACACTCAGCTCACAGATGGCTGTGAGGTCATCAGCCTTACTCGCCAGCCACCCTTTACCCCCAGAAGATTTCTGGTACTTATACATTTCTTAGCTTGTTGGTGTGTATTATAAGAGGTTTCTGAAGATATTAAGTAATCTGCCATGTTCACAGAATATTACTATGAAGAATGGTAGTATGTGGGTCTACTCTCTGAACTTTGCTTTTATGAAAGCTGGCAAAGGAAGCAGATACAAAAGTGAATTAAATATTGCAAGGCCAACTGGAAATGCAAATGCTACTGCAAGGTTTACGTCCAGTTCTAACATATCTGACAGGTCATCACTGTCGTCATCTCTCCCGTATCGTTCCTTTAAGTAAGCTGTTCCATCAGCATAACGACAGCCGAATGATGTCGATGCTGCAGCCAGGGAATCTTGTGTCTGTGGGATGCGAGCAGTACAGTTGGTCCTAAGGTCTCGTGGCAGTCCATTCAGGTTGACCCAGTTGTTGTTTCCAAACATCTGCAGGTTCAGGAATGCTCCAGCATAGCGACACTGAGTTGCATATGTGAGGTAGAGGAGCCAATCTGACAAACTGTGGAAAGCCCTAAAAAAAATGGGATTAGAGATGAACATTACTCTCTTCTAGTATATGATGCCATGTTATCAGTGTTTCAGAGGAATCTGCATCCTCCATCTTCAGAATAGGTAAGCTGGTACTGTATGACATCACAACCCAGAAGATGATAATCTTTATATTCACCATCGTGAGATCTCCAGACTTCACATATTATTAGAAACATTTTAGCATTTTCACTTTGTAGTCATTAAATTATTAATGGCTATTATCATCTGCTCAACTCCATGAGACATCAAAGAGTTTGTTTCAAACAAAATGTAACCTAGGTAAAGTCAGCATTCCCAATCCCAGTAAGCAATTTGATTTTAAAGAAAGGTAAATTTATCTCTGGGCTCCACTGTTATTGACCTTGGCACTAGGTGGAGGCAAGTGGTCAGCTTAACACCCCAGCTGCTTTACCTCCAAGGAAACTCCCTCCATTACCCATTGCATAGGAAGTTGGATGGGCTCCAAAGCTGGTTTGAGCACTATGGAGGAAAAAAAACAATCTCTTGCCTTTTCCGAGAATCTAACCCTGATTTCTTAGTCATCCAGCCCATAGCCTTGTTGCTATACTGACTGAACCTGGTTCTCAGTGCCTTCAAAATCTGTAATTCCCAACACCAAAAATCATACTGCTACCAAAAGAATCTCAGTATTTAAAACTGTATGTGAGTTGCATTAATACATTCAGTGCCATGCCTCCATGCTGGAATTTTACTTTGTGAGGAGCTATCTTTCTGTGAACACTAGATTCCAAAGTTATTACATTGGGAACAGAAGAGAATAAGCACAGAAATGATAAACAGTGTATTATGAATCTTTTGTACTTTGATAAGCTGCACTTGAAGTTTTTCTTCATGCGAATGACAACTGCATGCATAATTACAGCAACCCGCACCTGACAAGATCACCACTGTCACATAGTAACTTCAACAGGACAGGTGACAATATTAGCAGTGACTGTGTTAACATAAAATCGTACGTGGCCAATTTCAGATATATAAATCTGTTTTGCAGCTGCTTGTCAGTTCGTTCTTCTGCCTGGTCATAGAGTAGGGCAGAGAATGATGGGGAATTCAGAAATTACATTTCTGTATGATGATAATACATATTATATTGACCTCAATGTTGTACCTTGACATCCCTTTCATAAATTCAATCGCCATCTTTGTTATGTACACCACATAGAGTCTGGCAGGTTAAAGTTACTTTGGACCTAAAGATGGAATCAGTATATTCCACCAAACAGTTGGCCTCCCCCTGCCAGAGAACAACATGGTTTCATAACTCAGAACAATACATTGTAAATCTTCATCCTGCAAAGTTCTCAGATCTTATGTATCCCTAGGACCGTGCCATAGCCCAAGCGGTTAGTCACTGGCTTCCCACCGCGGCAGCCCGGGTTCGATCCCGGGTCAGGTCAAGTGGGATTTGTGGTGGACAAAGTGGTGCTGGGGCAGTTTTCTCTGAGTACTTCGGTTTCCCCTGGAATCTTCATTCCACCAATTGCTCCACAATCACTCTCACCTGTCATCTGGGGCTGGTACAGTAGGCCAGAAGTGGCCGCAGTACAAGGGACTTAGTCCCACCCCACTAGCAAAAAAAAAAAATGTATCCATTTCTTGAAATTAGGCAGAGTAGTTGAACTTGTTCAAGGCACAGTCCACATACTGATGAACATTCACGTTCCATAATAGGGAATTTCTTGAACAGCTGGACAAAAGTGAACATCTAGGATAAAAGCCTATGTTGTATCTGTACAGTCGGACCTTAACCAGAACAGTTGGTTGCAGCAAAGACTCAAACTAGATACCTCATCAAAACATGATTGTATGAGATTTGGGAGTTCTCATGTCAGTATGTGTAAAGTGTACTGTGTACAGGGATGTGACAGTGTATAGTCTGGTAGAAGTACGATGGGGTACCCAAAAGAAACCGAACTAAGTTTTTTGTGGGCAGAGCTTTTGTAGTACCTCATTTTGCGGCTATGAGTGCATAGAGCTAACATTCCTGAGTCGATAAGCCGACTACCGTTGCTTCAGAAGGTAAGGACTAGTTTCGGCAGAGTTTATAGTGACAACTGTTTTGTGTGATCATCGTTTTTGCAATGGCTGATTTTCGTGAACAGCGTGCGGCGGTGAAATTCTGCTTTTTG